CTGCAAATGATTTACATGTGTCTTTCATGTGGGGTTGGAAAACAGATTGATGATCTGCATCTGCGTTTCATCTGGTTTACAAAATGTAACAGATATTAAACAATTACAAGTATATATATATAGTTTTTTAAATAATGTTATAATTAATCCCCATATTTGAGGAGTGTTTATTTTTCCAAGTATCATACTAAAGTGTTATCAATAGCTAAAACATTGATGCAAAAATATGGTGATATTCTGAGGGGGGAGATGTGTTGGTTGCCAGAGGTAGACAATCAAGGGTTACCATGAAGAAGAAGAATATATAAGATAAGAATAACATGATAGCATGATAAACTTAAATAAACAAGTACCAATTAAAATCATCCCAGGGTTAAAAAGCATCAGAAGAATTATCAATACTGCTAGTAATATTTTTTTGAAAATTCAGGCAAGATAAGTAGAGCCTATTTAAGGGATAGATTGGCCTTTTAATAAGGCCAACAGGACACTCACTTCTTTCTGATGGAGAGAAAGCAGTGTATACAGATGCCCCCAAACAGTGCCATGTTTATTCTTAGCAAATCAACTCTCCATCTAGCAAAGTTAATGTTTTATAATCACATATAAGAAGTAAAAGATTTTCCACACTTCATTAAATAATCATAATGATAAAGTCTTCTTACACTCAATTTTTTTTATTACTACCAGTATTGTTTGTTGTAAAAAGTCCTTAAGAAATAACAAAGGGCAGATTGAGAAATAATGAAGAGTAGCATCCAGTATTTGTCTAGCACCAGGAAAACCATATACAGAAAAGGATAAAATCAATACTTTGATACAGATATCAAAGTACACACATTAAAGCTTTTACATTCTCATGTAAAAAAATTGGAAAGATGTTATAAACAGCTCAAAGGAAAAGTAAAACAAAACAGAATTATGTAAAAAAGCAAAATTGAATTGCAAATGAGGACAAAATGGGTTTAGACACAGGTGGGGGCTTGTAGAGAAAGTCAGTGATATCTCTTTGGAAAAGATGTTTTGTCTGTCAGTTTCGCACAATTAATAAAGAGGTGTCAAATAA